AAAAAAAAAAAAAAAAAACATGCACCCTATTGTAGCCGAGGGAAAAAAAGACTAACTTGGGGGAAAAAATCGTTTATTCCAGGTACTGTCTATGAGCGAGGAGCTGAGGCGAGCGCTTTACCACAACAACAGCGCGGTATCGCTGGATTCGGAGATCATAGTGCCGGATCTGGTGGGCGCGACCGAGATACTGAGCGACGAGCACAGGGAACAGCTCTGCCGGCACCTACCGGCGAGGGCCGAGGGTTACCTGTGGACCCTCGTCTTCAGCACCAGCCAGAACGGCTTCAGTCTCAACAGCATGTACAGGAAAATGAGCAAAGTCGAGAGCCCCATTCTCCTCGTCATCGAGGATACAGAGGGCAACGTGAGTTTTTTTCGCCTCCCCTCCCCCCCTTTTTTTGTTTGTTTGAAATTTACAAAATTGATAAATTTTAATTCGTAATGTTTGCAGGTTTTTGGAGCCCTGACCTCGTGTTCGCTGCGCGTCAGTGACCACTTCTACGGCACGGGGGAGTCGCTACTCTTTAGGTTCACGCCGAGGTTCCAAGCCTTCAACTGGACCGGCGACAACCTCTACTTTATCAAAGGCAACAACGAGAGCCTCGCCATTGGAGCCGGAGAGTAAGTCTAATTTCTGAAAGAGACAAGGCGGGTATTTTTCTCCGGTATGGCTAACATCCTTGTTTTGTCTTGAAAAACAGTGGCAAGTTCGGACTGTGGCTAGACGGTGACCTTTACCAGGGTAGAACCCAGTCGTGCAGTACCTACGGCAACGAGCCACTGGCGCCGCACGAGGACTTTGTGGTCAAGACGCTCGAGTGCTGGGCGTTCATATAGGACACGGCCCCCTTCCAGCAGGTCGTAGCTCTCGCTTCGTCCCCGCTGTCGAAAACGTCAAGTCCGACGCCGCCGTCGTCGGCAACCCTGATGCAGACCCAGTCGAGTCTCACCTGAATCGTTGGACCTCCATGTTAAGCCTCGGGAGGGGACCGTTGTTGTTGTCACGCGCGCCGCGCTCGCTCTCCACCTGTTGAATACACATACATGGAATCACACAGCGCACCCTGGATAAGGGCTTTTTGGAGCGCCTGGTGATTTTGTCGCTGGTGCAGAGGAGAGAGCGAGACGCGTGCGAGCGATACAATAGGCTTCAACGATATGTTATACACTGTCTGTCTCGGAGGCACGTGCCTGCAGATGATGATGATGATGACACAACTCCCTCCCTTTCCAAATCTACACTGTATTGTTGTCATGTTGCGTCAAAAACGAAAGCCATTATTATTGATTATTTTTGTGTGTACAAACTTTTTACTCGTCTCGTTTGTATTATTGTTGCGCAAAGGATGTTGTTACGAGGTCCGCGGGATACAATTATTCTTGTTATGCACACGTGATGATACATCTTACACGAGGCGCACGATTATTTTTTAACGATTGACGGACGATGAAAGAGTTGATACAAAGCGACGATTTTAAAAGACGGACAAACAAACGAAAAGAAGGACATAAAATTACAACTTTACACCGATGATACTCTTTAATCAAACGCCTCGACTAATAGACTTTTTAATTATTTTTTTGATTTATAATCATTGTTGATTCCTCAATTTTTTTTTGTAATTTAGGATATTTATTATTATTACTATAATTATTGTCATTATTATTTTATATATACATATGTATCTTGTAATTGCGAAAGATGAAATGAAAAAAAATGAAATGGTTTGGATGCTCTTCGAGGTGAGGATAAGCAAATTGATGGAAATTAAAACCAGAACTTATCTGATGAAATTGCTCACCCGGAGACGGCTATTGTTTTATACTTGAATACAATTGTTGTTTTTACACTGCAATCAATGAGCGCGAAAGAGACGTGGGTATTATGAGCAGAATGTTATAATGTTTGAGAACTCGAGCGTGAATACAGTACAATGAATGAATTTTTATGGAATTAAGTTTTTGAAAAGTCAACGAGTTGGACGATGATAGATTAAGTTGGCCCGAGTTTATTTTTGCTCAGCGCGCTATTAAGAGAAATAAAATTAAATGCAAAACTAACCGTTTGTTAATGTGTAGATATGTAGATAGTAAATGTAAATATATACATAATAATAATATTGAGCGCTATGCATATGTGGACGAAAAAAAAAAATATACATTGTTTACAATTATAAAATACTAAGGTACATTGAAACAACATTGTTTGAGCATTTGATCAGTGTTTTAGGATCTGAGAAATAAAATGTAAAAAACGAGTTAATCTTATGATTTTCATTTTATCATTTTCGACGACAGACAATTTTATCATTCACCTTAAACACACTCAGAACATTTGATGTTACGTTTAGTCGCATGAGAATTACACAAGTATATTATTCTACTCCAACACAAGTTCACGAGTGGCCATTTTTGTTTCAACCTCGGAATCACAAGACAGAGAAAAAAGAAAACATTTAACATATGCTCCCTTGTGATTAATGATATATAAACCTGTGAAGTAAGATATTGCTGTCAAATATATGTTTTCTTTTTTTAAAAAAAAAACAATAAAGAGTACGTTAATGAAAATTCATGCAAGCGCATTAAAAAAAAAAAAAAAAAAAACAATTACCTGTTACATTGATCCGTTGAAAAATAAAAAACATATCCTCGCTACGATGAAATTTATAATTTCAGTGCGAGTAGCTTTTTTTTAACTAAAAACCGTTGAATCCCGGAGACTCTGTGAACGAGTTTGAGCGATACCTAGATTTTTTCGAAGTGATTTTTCTAAACGCGCTAAAAAGATCAACACAGTTTTCAATATTAAGAAAAATCCTTAGTAACGTGTTTTAGCTTGGCGTATTGTTATACAGCTAGTTAAAAAACGTGCTTTGATCGTGGGGTAAAAAATCAGAAAAAGGTGTGTCAAATAGTTCACGTAGTAATTACATTAAGCGTTGATCTAATAGAAGCGAGTAACACTGCTTAGGTGACCTAATTGTTATACGTATATATACATATATATTAACACAGACTGCTACCCCGCTTTTGTCGAGCTATAAGCTGCTTTTAAAACAGACACACTTTACTTTTTGAGAAAAATAAAGGATGAGATTTCGCGACGTGTGTATTAATTATCAAAGACTATAGGTATATATACACATGAAATAAGTGATTTCGTATTTTTCGAGGGACAAGTGGTGTTTATAAGCAAAGAGTTAGAAAATCCTTTATTAGCGTATAGCGCGAGTCAATGTGAAAGATGCAACGTTTTTCAGCGAGAGAAAAAAAAAAAACATTGGGAGCACGCGTATGTAGCCGTGCCACTGCAAGCTATAGATGATCATGAAACTGAAGACAAAAATATTTAACTGCCTATACTTAGACCGTAGATTTATCTAATGTTAATGAAACTTGATAAAGCTTGAACAATAAATTGAATTTTAAAAAAGAAAAGAAAAAAATGACAGTCCCGAGGGAAGATTTGGATATTACAAAAAAAAAGGAAAAAATTCATTGGACAACGATTGGTGTTTTTGATCAATGTAATCATGTTAATGTTCGATGTTACCGAGGTGCTAGCTGAAAAGTCGGAAAAAAAAGAATACGGAAGGGTAATTAAACAATTTAGGGGCTAGATTTATAAATTGAAATAATCAAGAAACGATTAGTCTTTAATTTAGAAAAATCGAACGAACGCAGTGGTGACGTCAATGTTATTTAACTACGTAGGTAAATATGATGACACTACATTGTTGCTACACGATACGGGCCATATTACGTCTCATTCGTATGTACGTAACACGTTAAAAGTAATCCTAATGATACTTCTTGATATATATACATACATTTGATTCTTAATTCGAAGTCAATTTTACTTGGTTTTATATATTCGGGTACGGCGAGATGAATTTTACGAGCTTAGGAGTAGGTAATTGTGATTTCTATGATTTACGAGAAAAGTAAAATAGATGGGCGAAGGGAGATTTTTAGCAAACGATGTAAATATGATTCTTGATGAAAATAAAGCAAAAAAAAAAAAAAAAATTATTTCCGACGGAGTAGTTCGAGCCCGCAATCGTTAAATCGCAGCGAACCTCACATACATTGTCAATTAGTTCAGACTGACTTCAGGGATTGAACAAGCATCAAAAAAATGTTTAAAAAAAAATAATAATAAATAAAAAACAAAACAGAGACACACTCGGTGTTATTCGGTGTTTATAGATCTATGATATAATCGTGTCGTATTGTGTCGTCGTTCTTATCCGACGGTACTACGTAGTGAAAAAAACAACTATTATTCGAGACATTATTTTGTCATTATTTTTATTACGAAGCGTATAAAAAAAGTGCCGTTTCTTTTTTTAAGTGTAAAAATATAATTCAACCTAGTATCGTTTGGCCGCAGAATTTTATTGGTTTTAACTTCCGAACAATAAACATATATCCATGTATATTTGAACGAACAAAATATAGACGAGATCTTGCTAACTGTAGTTCCTTGCAAATATATATATACATAAACGTACTGTGTATATTATTAGTATTGTATACGTAACATATATAGACAATTAACAATATACTAAAATGTGTCGAAACAATAGGTCAGGTAATATACAATATTATACATACCTATTTGCGATTTTTAACTTTTCGGGTGGTAGTGTTGAAAAACTGGAGTGCGCTGTTTTGAAAACAAGGTATTTATAGTTTACAGGTGATCGACGACGTGTGTACGAGTATCCTTGTAGTTTATACGAATTTCGAATTTTCAATGACACCTCAGACAACACAAGTACACAAGGGACGATATTAATTTATCATTTTCGTGCGTATAATATATAGGTGTACAGTGGTGAATTGACATTTTATTGATACGTACAGAATAATAGTGAACACGTATAATTTATCGTTTTGTTTTTTAATCGAAATTCTTGACTGACTACTCGAATGTATTTCAAATTGTTTTCTCCTCGCAGTGCTGGGAAAAAAAAACTATGCAGTTATCAAAGAGCTATAGAGAGAGAGAGAGAAAAAAAAACATAAGAGAGTGAGGAAAGTGGTACTTTTAGGCGACAGAGAAAAATCGTTTATATCTCTCTGTGTGCAAAAGTGTCACTTTCATCAACTCCCATCCAAACAAACACGCCAGGAGATAAGCTTCTCTGGACCAATTATAAGAATTTTACACTTCTATAAAAAAAAAAACAAAAAAAAATTATACGACATACAAGCTAACAGCTCCACTTTGACTAAAAGATTTCCCAAAAAAGAAACTTTAAAAAAAAAAAGAAATCGTAGAAAACGCCACTTGCGTGATTAAAAAAAAATATATATATATATATATAT